GAAGAAGAAGAAGAAGAAGAAGAAGAAGAAGAAGAACGAACGAACGAACGAACGAACGAACGAACCAACCAACGAACCAACGAACCAACGAACCAACCAACCAACGAACGAACGAACGAACGAACGAACGAACGAACGAACGAACGAACGAACGAGCGAATGTTAATTCAAATCTGTCGAAAACACATGTTTGGAATGAGATAAATGAGTGAAAGAGGGATCAGCCAGACCATATTGGAAATGGAAGAAATGTGAATCCAATGATAATCTTCCGAGACCGTGTGCATGAGTGTGTTTGAGGGGAGGGAGAATTCATTTTGTTGAACATACACGATATTTATAATTGTATAAAATTATAAAAAGCGCCATCTTCGATACATAGTAATCTTGTGTTATTAAATTTGAAGCGATCAGTCTTTTGATATTAAAGAATAATTAGTGTCTGGGTTGGGGTGGGGGTTGCATTATACACTATTGATAAATGCGTTTACTTTTTCCTTTTGTGTGATTCCAAAAGTATGACCAACATACCCAACAAGACAAGAATTTAGTACAACTCAATTTGTGTCTAATGGGTTGAAAAACATTAGATTTACGAGCAAGTTTTTACTGTGTTTGTTAACTGCGACGTGTCCATTTGGCCAACGACGTTCTTCCAGAGTCTTTAGATTAGTTTTGAGCCGTAGCCCTCAGAAAGCAACTTAGTTTTTTTTTAAAGTGGAAAGCCATCGATTCCAGGCGCTCACTTAGAACTGGCGTCAGAACGCGGTGACATTACCCCATCATTACGGGTGTTTCTGACGTCATCTTGGCGGGTTCCCACCAAAAGTGTGCCCTTGACACGATCCTCATTTCCTACACTGGCTCTGACGTTTCTATCTGTGACAAGGTTTATGGGCACGTTGTCCAGTTGGCTGGGCTGAGGATGTCTGCTCCAGCGGTGATGGGCTGACCCAGTCATTAGATTGATGGGCTGGCCAGGTGTAGCAGGAAAGCTGTCTCTCATTTCCTTTACGCCATAGCCACTTTCTTCGTTATCAACCTCATCATCGTCAATATCGTCGATGTCGACGTCACAGTCTTCTTCTTCTTCTTCCCCTGAAGGTTCAGGCAGCTCCATTTTATTCATTCCTAAAGGGTCAGAGTTCAAAGCCAGGCCGAGGTGATATCGCTCCCGGTGACCTGCGAGAGACAATGACGTCATGGCTGAAGGTCCCGTGTCCATATGGAAGGCTCGGGTCAAGTTTCGAACCCCAGCCCCTGGAGAGTGGCTCGACTCCCCGACGTCTTCTGCTCTTGGAGAATTCTCCACGCTAATGTCGTCGTGGTCTCCGTAGAGAAGTTCGGCATGACTTCCAGCATCTCCCAGACCTGATGCACCCATGAGGTGGAGTCGCGCGTGGATCCTCTTGTGTCTCTCCAGGTTTGACTTGTGGCTAGTGGCGTAGTCGCAGTGTGGACAGGTGTAGTCTTTCTGTCCGCTGTGGACGCTCAGATGTCGCTTTAGAAGTGCCTTGCGGCAGAACCGACGGCCGCAGTAAGCGCAGGAGTATCCGTTGTGGTGAAAGATGGTGATGTGTTCTCTCAGAGAGGCTTTCGTAGAGAACGTCACGCCGCAGCACTCCAGCTGCTTGTCACAAGCTTGGTGCATGGTTGCTACGTGACGCTTTAGGTTGTTACGGCGATCCGTGACGTAGCGACAATGTGGACACGGAAACAGCTTACCGCGGAAAGTGTTGCAAACCAGCATCGCTAGTTCTAGATAGTTCCTTGTCAGATACGGCGGTTTCATCTTTGCGACTTCCCCAGCTAGTTGCGCCTGATTGGCCGCTTGGATCTGAGCCATGCTCAAGTATTTTAACTCTTCTGGGGTGGGGAACATGCCCGGGTACTGCAGGAGAGGAGCGGGAAGACCTGCCGAGCCGGACGTGACGGGGCCAGGCCGGAGCAGAGCTGCTGACCCACCCAGCATGCCCATACTCAGAGCCGGGCCGGAGAGGGTGGAGAGAGGCAGGCCTTGGAACATCGGACGCATGGGTAACGTCGATGGCGACGAAGAGGACAGTGACGGCGGTGAGCCTGCAGCTGCGGCTGAGGATGAAGATGAAGATGATGCGGATGATGATGCTGATGATGATGATGGT